TCCCTATTTACCTCACTTATTATTTCTCTTGCTGAGAAAAAACTTCTTAGTTTGAATATGTCCCATTTGTTGATTCTTGATTTTAACTCTTGTGCTATAGATGTCCTATTAAGGAATTTGGAGCCCGACCCCACGAGATGGAGATTAGGGCCAACTTTTTCTTCTATTAGATGCAGAGTCTCTGGTTTGATTCCTAGCTCCTTGATCCATTTTGAGATAACTTTTGTGCATGGTGAGAGAAAGGGATTCAATTTCATTTTGTTGCATATGGATTTCCAGTTTTTCTAAGCAGGAAGGGTGAAACAGGTGGTATAGCGATACCAGATTTCAAACTATACTATAGAGCAATAGTAACAAAAACAGCACATGGTACTGGTACCAAAAAAAGCGGGTAGACCAATGGTTCAGAATAGAGGACACAGAGACCAATCCACAAAATTACAACTAGCTTACATCTAGTCATTCTTTAGGTACAAGCTTATGTCTAGGCACAAATGAAAGTATATAGACATGCATATAATTTGCTTTTTAAAATCTCCAGTGACTGTCTTCAGTGGCTCATTTTTTGTTTGTTTGTTTGTTTGTTTGTTTTTTGCAGCCCTAGAGAATGAACCCCTGGGTGCTGTATCACCGAGTTATTCCCAGTTTTTTTTTTTTTTTTTATTTTTGAGTGAGAGTCTCACTAAATTGCTCAGGCTAGTCTCAAACTTGAGATTCTCCTGCCTCATCTTTGGAGTCCCTGGGACTATAGGCATGTGCCAGCACACCTGGTGACTGAGTCTTGATATTATACTCAAAATAATAAATGGCCATGAGAACATTTCTGCATGGTCCATCAGACAAAGGGTCAAAGGTGTTGTCCTTATGTTCTTCACAATCCCCTATCAAAGGTCCAGGTGATAAGTTGACTTCCAGGAAAAAGTTTCTCAAAACTGTTTTCTGCATTTCCTCAGACCAACAGAACTGTGCAATTAAGTCTACAGCCCTACCACCCTGAACATGCCCCATCTTGTCTGATATCAGAAGCTAAGCAGGGTCAGGCCTGGTTAGTACTTACATGGGAGAACTGCATAATTAATCTGATTTCCTTTTTGCCTTGGTTGCCTGTAAGCAAGGGGATAAACCTGTTGCTCAGAAATGTTATACTGTGAGACTTCTGCTCCTCTGATAGACCTCTTGTAAACAGCATTATGTTTTATGTCCCTTCAAACTCTTTGGAGTTAGGTGGCATATAAAAGCAAATCAACAACTCAAGAGAACCCAGGCAATTGTGAGCAATAGTGAAGTCCCAACTAGAGTTGGGAGCTGGATGGACTCAATTCTACAGACATCAGCACACCTTGACACATGACATTTCCATAACAACACTGCTGCCAAGAGTCGGGAAGGCAGACGGTGGTATGGGATGCTAGTGTGCTTGCTTGTCTTGTTATTTAACCTGGTGGAATAAGTATGGTTGGTGGRCAAGGGAACAAGGACACTAAAAATAGCAAGGACAGAATCTCTACAGTCTTTGAGCACGGACTGGAGGAATGAGCAGAGAAGGGGCTGAGGGACAGTGTATGAGAGGCAAGGGGCTGAGCAGGAAGAGTAAATCAAGAGTCCCTGAGCCAGCTCAGCAGGAGCAAGGAGCCAGGGAGGGTAGGTGCAGGGTGCAGTGGCAATGGAATTTCAGGCTTTATAAATGGTGGACATACAGTACTTCCAAAGGCTAAGATCAAAGATGAAGCTACCTAGCAGGTGACCATCCAGCCATCATCTGAGCCAGAGAGAACCACAATCAATGGAAAGTGCATGAAGATCTAAGTGGACCACAAGCCCTACATATCCCTATTCCATAGCAGCAAGAGTGCTCAGCCTGTGGCATAAACAGATAGTCCAGATTTTGCAGAAGGGAGAAGGCCTAAAGGGATAGTGGTTGCAAATGCTTCCCACTGGTAGCCCTGGGGAGTGAGGGGGACACTGGCTAAGCCCTCTTCCTATCCACAGAGCTGTAGCTAAAGATCTTAAAGAGAGCCTGGGGTGGAAGTGGCTGGTTCTACTGCAATGGGGAGAAAAAAAAGGTGGTAGGATCAAGTTTAGGAATGGGAGAAGAGTTCTCCATGGCACAGAAGAATTCCCCAGAGCGGAAATGATGGGTTAACACTGGGGCACATGTGCTCAAGGACCCTGCTAAAGAGAGAAAGGAGAGAGATCTGCTGCAGAGCGTGGCCTATGCAGACCAGCCACTCACAATAGGATGTGGGTTCCCTTAGGTTTCACAAAAGCTCATTCATTGGATGATAACTCTGCTCCCCCATCCCAACTGCTTTCTATTTCATATTAAGCACCTAGGATGGTACCAAACATAGTAACTAGGAGTACCCAGACTCACAGAAGTAGAAAATAGAGTGGTAATTGATCAAATTACATTTTTATGTATGTACAAACATCCCACGATAAAACCCACCAATCTGTAATCACCAATAAAAATTTTTGAAAAAGAAAGAAAGGTGGTTGCCAGGTCCTAGGGGGAAGGTGATGGGGGACTAGTCACTAGGTGCAGGTGTTCAGTCATCAAGAAAATTCCCAGCCAGAGCTGCTATGCCACATGCACCAAGGTAATCACACGGCACTTGAAAATTCGGTCAGAGGGTTTAAGGAAGATAACAACTGGGAGAGGAGTATATGAAGTTCGTGAATATCTTCAGTCACAAATGTGGGGAGCAGGGAAGCCAAGAGAGGGGGAAGGAGCAGAGCTGCCGGCGGCCCGGCGGCCTAGTCTTCCCCCGGGCTGTAGTGGACACAAGCCAGCTRTCTGCCAAGAGTGGCTGACGGCTCTGACTGAAGCCACGGAACTACCAGAACCACATCTGCATCCAACTTGGAGCGATTCTGTGCCTCCCTGGGACTGGGCATCATGGCAGCGCGCTGTGCTGGAAGCCCCCACCGACAAGCTCAGCCAGCCATTCACCAGCTCAATGGGGTCTTTGTCCTAAAGACTCTCTAAAGGACGCTGAGAAGCCACCAGGGTTTCTCAGTCGCCGACTGGGCAGCTCTGGGAAAGCACAGTAATGAATTCCATCTTCCTTTTTCTTCTTTCTTACAGAGAAATGCTATATTCAAAGCAATGTCACCCAGTGAAAACCCTGAGAGAAAGACAGGCCTGAGACAAAGGCAGGTCCCCCAAGGCAGACCATAAGGGCTCTGCTTGGGCAGGGAGCCTGGCGTGTCTGGATCCCCATGGAAGCCAGCGCCTACACAAGG